ATTGTTCGATTCGCTAAATCGTTTGGCCAACTCAGCTGGGAAACGTCCGATGACATCTCGGGATGTCATATCATTGCGTCCTCAGAGTTATTTATCAGTTTTCTTAATTCTAGTTTACCATATGAATAAGTTAAAAGTGTATTCTCTCCGTTATAATGAAGAACAATAGTAAGTTTTTCAACTAATTTTTCCGGAAGTAGCATGCAAAGCGAAGAAGCAGTGGCTTTGTTTGATATTTCAACTACAATGTTAAGGTAAAATAAAAAAAGGTCTGCCTGTTTTCCTTTCATTTGCAGCTTACACTGATTCATAACTATGGGTTCTATACGTTCAACACACTAAGCCATTGATATTCGGGAGGGTTTGCAATGAAAAAACTCTATTTCTCTTCGTAGTTCTTGTTTACTTTAACTTCTATTGTTATTCTTTGCTGAAAGCTCAGAAAGTGGAACGAAATATGACATGCATTTCTCCATAGTATTAGTTTCAGCTGACAGAAATCAATCGTTTAAAAAAAACATTGTTCTTTGAAGCTGTATTTTTTGCTCTTTCGTTAATTATTAAATAAATAAAAATGAACGAATTTAGTGCCTGTGAAAATTGATTGTACAAAACTTACAGAAATTCATTTGATGAAGTTTGACATGGTACACATTTTGCTAATCGGAATCATTCCCATGTCCAAAATGAAGCACTCCGAAAATTTTGATCTCTCATCATGACATTAGTGGCATTATTCTGTCCACACCCGCATAATTGTAATTGTTTCTCTGCTTTATTGTTGTGGTGATGGTGGTAGAGGTGGTGGTATGAATCGGTGGGTATTAATGCAAAATGTTATATTGTAGTTAACGTCTTACTAAATATCCTTCATATAAGTTTATTGCGTGCCAACTTTACTATTAACATATAGCACGAAAAATACATCTGGATATATCTCTCTGAAATTGATAGACTTTTATCCTTAGTTATACATACTTGGCTCAGAGTCAAGGGTTTACCATCCCAGTTGCTACGGTTGTCAGTTTCATAATACATACATCTCAATTAACAGTGGGTAGCACTAATTGAATGCTTAGACAAATCAGCGGCTACTTCCACTAAAGTGGATTTATTGTATCAGTGTATCTCGAGGAAAGGCTGAGGGAGGGTGACTTTTTTCATCTAACTAATCTCTTCCTGTATATTGCCACAGGTACCATACTTCATGAAAGGTTTGTTAGTTCGTCATGTGTGGAATAAGGCTAACGACCAACGCAGATATATTCCTATTAATGTATTAAATTTTTGCTTTTTTGCTCAACATTAGGTAATCTAAGTTGTTTAATGGAGTTATTATCGAGAGGAAATTTTCAATGTACATATACAAATTTGTGTTTTTTTACTGACTTTTCACTCAACTACTACAATTTTTGGCATTCTTAAGAGAACTTCAAAAGCATAGCGAGGTGTCTAAATGCTAATCGGCCAACATTTTGTCCTGGCAAAAGCTTTAGAACTCTGAACCCCACGTTCGCTGTGGGCTTGATTAGTTTATTATTTATGAAATTGCATAAGAAATGAAACTCTAAATCACAGAGGCATTTCATGTCATTGAGGAGTTTTCTCCTCACAGTGGATCTAGAAAAAAAGATGATAATTTAAGCCACTATCGCTGCTCGTCTTGAGGCATAATTACTATTGTCTTACTAATGGAGTTTGGTGAGTTCATTTGAGAATTTGAAACCAAAATTGTATGGTCACATGCCAATTCACATATATTTATTTCAATCTTTTGATGTGGTAATTTTACGGAATGTCAAAGTGGACATCACCGAAAAGTCTTTTTTTCACGATTTTGAATATTTGGAATGAGAGAATGAAATTTATTATAAAATGAAAATTGTTTTGAAATTTGGCAAAACTTGTTAACTTTCTAAGCTAATGCAATAGGGATCAGTAAAAGGGGAGTATATACCCTGCATATTATCAAAATGTAACCCGATTTAACAAGCGTAAATCTATTTTCAACATTTTATCAGTAGCAATTGTGGGCGAGAAGCATATATGCAGAAAATTTAAAATCAACGGGGTGTTTGCTATTTTCCAAGGCATAATCTCCAATACTTTGACATTTGATTGAGATTATATGAAATCAACTGAAGGGAAATTACATTTCGATTCCATTATTTGAGAACATGTTCCTCGATAAGGTGGCTATAGGTAAAGCGTAAGTGTAGAATACAACATTCCTCTCACACCATCAAGCCTTCTGATCTATTTCTTAATAAGGGGTAATTGCTGCGTTCAAACAGAAACTCCACGACAATCCCCTTCCATGCTCTTACAAAAGCGACTATAAAACTTCCAGAAAATCAATAAGGATTAAAATCCATCATGATTTTTAAATTTCTTATCATATTTTAAATTAATTAATCGAAGAGATTATCAAGTAGACGCTCGTTTTGGCATTTATATTAATTTCCATTTTGTACCACTTACATTTTTTTAGCAGTGAACATCTTGCAAATATGCGAATCCTCTCCAAATATTGAGGCCCTTATTATAGAAATAGAGAGTATGTGATCATGGACTCCCTAATATATATATAATGACCAACATCTTCAAGAGGAAAACAATAGTTTAAACTGATTTAATAGAAATAAATTTGAAGAAATCTTCTTAAGTAAGGAGAAGTGAAAGCGGCTGAAACTTAAAATTTACCGTTGCATTTAGGAGAGATCCATAGAAAGTTAATCTAATTCACAAATTCACTAGTCCTTCCTTTGTCTGCTCTATAATTTAATCATTCCACTCCTTTCTCCATCACAATTACTAAATTTTGCTTCAAATGAACAAATTTGAGTTGGAATTAATCTGACAGAATGCAAGCTCTAAAAATGCAAGAGGCAGAGAGGAGGTTTGGTGAAAAAAATTCATCGAGCTTCTGGTTACTTTAAAGCTAATTTGATGCTCGAGTTTTCAAGTGGACAAGCCGCCTCAAAATCAAAGGCTCCAATCCACATTTCGGTTCATAAGAAAAGTGATTTCTCCTAAATTAAATCTGATTACTTTTCGGTTATTAAATTTTCAAGTGCAAATATAACATTTTAATCTTATATTCGATTGGGTCACAATTGCTAAATTGTATTTACAATTATTGCATAAGATAGACAAACAGCCAAGTTGGTCTTATCGAATGGCGAAAATGGCAGCTATTGTTTTCGTAAATACGTCTTTTTTTGTACTATTGCCAGTTGTCAGGAATATATTTTGTCTAGGAAAACCATTAAGGCTTTCTCGTATAGATCGTTCATTTTCTGCGTTAAGAATAACTTTATTACTAAAAACATCAAAATGCTAATTATTATTATTTGGCGAATAATTTAAGATTATTGACCAAAGACCTTATTAAATGCATTTCATTGAGGTAAAATATTGCCTAATTTCAATCATTAAAGATGAAAAAATAACAGTTAATGGATAACAAAATGGGACACAGTTTGACTTAATGCATAATGACTGATGAAGTTATAGAACCGAAGAGTAAAACTATCACATGCATATAGACCCATTACTAAGCTAAATAATATACTTTATAAAGCATGTTACAGTAATTAAAGTGAACTGAAAACAAAAATAAAATTGACTTTAAATTTAATTGATGTCTTGTTTCCAAAACCCTATTCTATGCAAAGTACTGGATATGGCAGTGGGAGTTTCGTAAGTAATCCAGAAGACTAAATGCAAATCTGAATTTTTGAATACGAAGCAGTGAATTTATAATTAAGTGAATTCCCCTAAAACCCGAAATGAAACCAGCTGCGACAACTCTTGTGATACTCTATCTGGTCTCCACAATTAATATTCTACTAAACTCGGGGTGTGCAATAGACTTACTCCTATGTGGTGCACCCTGGGCAAAGTATACTCAAACGGCAAAATAGTCTATTAACTGGCAGTTGACTTCTGACTTCGAACTACTATAACCCCAATGTATGTCATATTCGACTACTCCCACAGTACTAACCTCACCATTTTTCTACCTTTGTGTCCGTCTGTCTCTTTTACATCTTTAAAACACTCTTCTGTTCCTCCCTCTCGACATTTTTCACTTTGTTGCTCCTTTCTCTCTGTGAAGTCTGAATCTCGACATTTTTCACTTTGTTGCTCCTTTCTCTCTGTGAAGTCTGAAGTCAACGAAAAGGTTAATGACGACTATCAAAACATCTAAAATTTGATATAAATAAATAAAAATTCTTCTGAACTCCGTTTGTCAGATTTCAGTTGATTCTAAGAATAAAAATTGTAATTAATTTTCTGTATTACTGTATTTTAATACAATACTACCACTGACAATGCTTAATATTTAAATTTATCATTTCCCACATATTGTTATTTTAAAAGACTTCATAAAAAACTGAACGCTAAATTAAATGAAACAAGGTAACATATTAATGTTATTTTTGACTAAATTTAAATAAATATTTAGCGGTTTTGTATTGTGAAGTTAACAGCAATCGATAGATTTTGAGAAACCTTGAATGTAATATTTTCAGTCACGCTTATTTACATATGTATTTAATCTAAACCAGATGTCTCCTCGAACCTATGATGATGAATCATATTATCATATCCCTTATAATAATATGTAATTATACCTTTTGTAAATACGCATTACATGAAGAATATTAAAATTCTATTTTGTGTGTATATATATAAATATGTAGAAGTACAAATGTATTCGCCGTTCCATTGATAAACTGATTTATATCTAATTTCAATTCCTGTATTTGCTTAAATTTTATTCTTATGCAAATAAACCTTAAAGAGTAAAATAGAAATCATGCAGACGTGAAAATAATTCACAATTAAAATTATGAAAGAAATAATGCTTCCCAGATAACCCGGTCTATTTTTTATCTACAGTCTTTTGCCAACCACGAATTCATTCTTTTAATTCTAATCAATCACACGACTGCTTTAGTTTAATGAACTATTTTTTTATTTTCCATCCAGGTATGACACACAGTGATTCCTGTGAAATAAATGCCTCATATCGGGGTCTCTGGCTGCTGATCGACCCACTTCCAAGTCCACCCAGCCAATACGCCGAGCTCCGTCACCCTCAGCATCATCTGCGAAAACTTATTAACATCGCCGACCGCACCGTCACTTTTGCCGATGTACTGGGTGATGAAACATTCTACGAGTTCTCATGTCTTAGGGAGGCTAGTGAGATAGTTCCAGATTGGTACATACTTGGTGGAAGGCAACTACAGCCCGGATGGTAAAAAAATTTTTAATTAGCAAATACTAATGTAATAGAATTCTAACTAGTATAAGTGACTGAGGTAGTCAATAAATGCCTAGACTGAATTGATGTCTTAATTATATTAGGCTAGTCTTAAGTAGGTATCTCATCACCTTAATGTATTCATGGGTAAACATAATTAAGGTGACCGTAACCAGGGGAAGAGAATATGATTTGGGTGTGAGCTATTGCTTTTTGCATGTGGATAAAAACAAATGCCCTTAATATAGGCCATAATGCATTTCCAACCGTAGTTTAAAGGAGGGCTTACTTTCATTACATTTGTCAAAGTACAAATATTCACAAATTGAAGGTCAGAACGGCTGCAACTAGCGGTCTGAAAAATCAAATTAAGGCGTTAATGAGGATTCATTTAAAATGGGCAATAAGAGCAGTGAAATAATGGATCTTACCATATTTGACCACTAAATTTTTCATGATTTTCTTACTAGCATATAAAAAAATTCAAAATCATTAAAATGACATCGGACTGAATTACCGCAGTACAATTTCCGTGAATGTCAAACTATGGTCTTGCTCTGTCTACATAACTGAAATTTTTCTTAGCTGAGAGTGGCCTAATGACACTGGACAGTATATTTTAAATTCATCAGAGCTAACTGCATATCACAAGTTTTTAAACGAAACAGTTTTTTGGACTAAAAATGCACCCTAAACAACATCTGTTAATTCAGTCAGCTAACTGAAAACTAATTATTGCATGCATGAAATCCAGTGTGATTGTATTGAGCTCTGTACACTTAGAAATTCGTTGAATTAGAGACTCTGTACCTTCGGATAAGGATTTCATCACTTAAAATGGCAAAACCAAGGAAAAGAGTATAGACCAAATTCTTTCCATAGAAATATAAGTGAAGAGAGAGTCAAAATTCTTATTTCCGAAACAAGATCGTTTTAGAAGTACATTCAAAAGAAGCGCACGAGATCAGTTGTTTGGGGTGTTAACAAAGCTCGTTCTGTTAAGCCTATTTAGGAACAGGGCTAAAATATATGTCGAAGAAAATTTTGTCTTGTGACCGAAACAAATTTTAATTTAATTAATTCTCATACGGATCACCACTAAATTCTCTATTTATGCCTGGTTCTCCTAATTTAAAGTCTTGGAATTCATTTTAATGTAGTTAGCATTTCTTTATTGATAATTGGGAAGTATTCTTCGTCGCATGGATTTTATGTAAATAGTGAACTTTGATGTATTTCTTATTGCAGAGTCTCTAACACGCTGCTCATAGATAAGTGTCTTTATCATTTTAACACATTCTTGATAAAAAATTTAATTTATCACAGCTTTCAGGGTAATTAAATCAATTAGTGCGGGTTACTGCTTTTCATAGAAAAAGTTAAATGATGTAGAGCTAATAGCGTTGGTAAGTAAGTTGGAACAGTGGAATCACTGTAGTATTTGATCATCAGATGGCTTAATTTAAACATGTTTGGCGCATTCAATTAAAGTACGTAGCTTGTGCTGTTGGAGGAATTGTTATTTTGAAACCTTTACTAGAGCTCAAAAATGCGCAAATACCTCGATCAAGATAATATTTATGTTTCAAGACAAAATATTGAACAGTCCTTAAGCAAAATAAGTTTTAGCCATAGAGATGCGAAGAATATCATTAAAATTATCCTATTTATATTTCATTTTATTCAATCAGCCACCCTAGAGATGTCTGTCTCGAAGTCTCCCAAAACAGGCCGATATTCTCCAATGAGGCACCCAATACCAATACGCTTCTATTTCGACTGTGTATGTTCATTTTCTTGATTTTTAAAATCTTATAGCTAAACTTCTTGCAAGATGGTTTGGCCTTCCATTACTTTCCAATGGTTTAATAAGTTGAATAAGACTATAGTTTTGATTTTTAGTAGATAAGTGATAGATAGAGGTCTGAATGATGGAATCAAAACGTCATGAGAAGTGGTTTACTAGAAAGTGAATATTATGATATGCGCTTCCGTATAGCTAGGTCGATCGAGATTATATTACAGAGAGAACTGCGCAATAGCTCATTATCCTCTCAATTCGAAAATTATATGTATATTCCATCATTGTTCGTCCTCAATTCGTTCTTTAAAATAACATAATGCAAACACACTAATGAGCACTCAGGAAGGATGGCACTCACCTCACTAATGATCCTTGTGTATGTCGTCGTTTTTAATCTCCATAAAATAAACGTGTCAGTGTATTTTTTACTATTATAAAAAAACCTTAATCTCTTTTGAGGTTACCTTCTAATTAAAATTGCATTTTAACGACATACGACACCTAATTGACTAACCTATATTTTTTTCTTACTGTATGGGCTTCTAGGTTAATTAGTAAACATTTTTTTGTTTAGTTCTTTAGTTTTGTTTTTATCCCAATTTAAAAATGAAAGAACAGGATGTGCACTTCCGACACATTTTATTGTATTACTTCCGAAAAGGCAAGAACGCATCGCAAGCACAAAAGAAGTTATGTGCCGTATATGGAGATGAAGCCTTAAAAGAAAGGCAGTGTCGAAATTGGTTTGAAAGATTTCGTTCCGGTGATTTTTCACTCAAAAATTCACAACGATCTGGCCGCCCAGTCGAAGTGGATGAAACCTATATCAAGGCCATTATCGATTCAAATCGTCACAGCACAACACGAGATATTGCAGAGAAGCTCAATGTGTCGCACACATGCATTTAAAAAAAAATTAAAAACCCTTGGTTAAGTCAAGAAACTTGATTTATGGATCCCTCACCAGTTAAAGGNTTTGACGCAACGGATTAGCATCTGTGATTCGCTACTGAAACGCAATGAGAATGATCCATTTCTGAAGAACCTAGTTACTGGCGACGAAAAGTGGATAGTTTATAACAATGTTACTCGCAAGAGACCATGGGTGAAGCAAGATCAACCAGCCCAAACAGTATTAAAAGCAGAGATTCACCAAAAAAAGATTATGCTGTCAGTCCGGTGGGATCGCAAAGGAATTTTGGATTTTGAACTCATGCCGCAGAACCAAACGATAAATTTAAATGTGTATGTTGAACAACTGGAAAAACTGAAGGATGCAATTGAAGATAAGCGGCCGGCATTATCAAATCGGAAGAGTGTTGTTTTCCATCATGATAACGCAAGGCCCCACACATCTTTGGTTACTCGGCAAAAATTATTGGAATTGGGTTGGGATGTTTTGTCACACCCACCATATAGCCCTGACCTTGCGCCTTCGGATTACCATTTGTTTCGTTCCATGCAAAACTCTTTAAATGGTAAAATTTTTAACAACGCGGATGATGTCGGATCACACCTAATTCAGTTTTTTAATAGCAAAGACCAGACATTTTACGAACGGGGAATTTTTACTCTGCCAGAACGATGGAAAAAGGTCATCGACAAGAACGGCCAATATCTAATTGAATAAAGTAATATTTTTAAACAAAAATTCCGAATTTGCCTTCTTATTTGAAATCGGCAATGACTTAGTTGCCAACCGAATAGTTATTGGATACCATGCTGGTGCAGACGTCAGATATGAACGGTACAAACTCGAAAAGCCCTCCAAAATTGGATAAACACAAAAAATACTTCCCATTTTCACAAGGAGGAATTTTACTTTGAAATCAGTTAACTAACTGTATATCTATTACTCAAAAAACGGCATTGCATGAACAAAATCGCTTTTGTGCGTTAAACACATTAATATATTAAGTTTGTCAATAATATGGAGTTTAGAGATTCTGCTGACCTATGGTTCTTTCGAGATTTATGAACTTTATAACTATCGAGCTGCTGACAGCCCATCGATAATGTCATATATAGGGGTGGAGGGGGGGGGGGCGCTTTAAATGATTCATCCTAATTATATCACCGGCCAATCAAAACGATTACATCATCTAATCACCCAATCGTATTCTTCTATTATAAACATTCGCAGTGGGCGAAAAGCCAACCAGTGCTTAAGGTTTTTTGCAAAACTTTACAATGGAATTGCATCAAATTGTGCGCATTATCTCATTTAAACTCTTATTCAACTCGTGCCACATTACATTACATAACATTAATTTATATCAAATGGCAGGCGTTATGCTAGTTATCATTAGCCCTTTAGTTGACTTCAGATTTCACAGTTTATCATTAGCCCTTTAGTTGACTTCAGATTTCACAGAGGGGAAGGAGCACCAAAGTTAACAAAATTTGAGACGGGGAGAGGGAAGATAAGAGTGTTTAAAAGATGTAAAAGAGACAGACACAAAGGTTGAGAGCAGGGTAAGGTGAGTACTGTGTAAGTTGTGTAATATGACATACAGTGGGGTTAGGGTAGTTTGAAGTGAGAAGTGAACTGCCGTATGAGTATACGTTGCCCAGGGTGCACCACGTGGAAGTTAGTCTATCGCGCACCCCACATTACATAACATTAAAATTAAGCAGAGAGAAGTCACAAGTCTCGTATAGGTCAAGCTAAACTGTGGAGGTCAGATAGCACAGTTAAGCCAAACGTAGGAGACAGCTAAACAAGCTTAAGTTTGAGGGATAAGTGAAAGGTTGCGCGATGTGAGCGACGCATAAATGGAAGCTAAAATTAGGTAAATCCTAGCGCCGCCAGAAAATTTGCTCAGGAATATTTTGAAAAAGACACCACAAATTGGCAATTTTTTTATACCACCAATATTGAAGTGAAATGTAAGGTAGGTTCTTGAAAGGAAAGGTCTGAATATTAATGATATAATGGCAGAATCCCTACATAATACGGCTCATGCCAAAGGTAGTAGTGCAAACGCTTTTAATACAAGTGTATTCGTGCCAAAAATTGGCACCTCCTATTTCTACCAAGAAAGGAATTCAATTTGCAATCCCTGCCAAAAACTATTGCCAAAAATTTGTCTTTCAACAAAGGTAGAAAGGAAACCCCCTGTAGTGTTTCTTTTGATTTTCAACATTGTAAAGTGAAAAGAAAGCATAAAACACGGGGTTTCTTTAATCCCTTAAGAACATTGGCTTTAATTGTTCCCAACGGTGGCTGCCCTTCAATAAAGAACTGCTCAAACCTCGAAGTGTACCAATTACCGTCTCATCTTGAAGGTGACTTATAAATTAGATTAGTTGAGATTAGATCTTAATGGGAAATATACAAGCATTACTTATACTGCCCAAGGAATAGTCGAAATTGTTATCTAATAATGAATAGTAAGTGGGATCACACTCAATCCCCCCCCCCATACTCCTACTCATTTAATTGTGTACTAAACTTGATTTTTTTGTTTCCACCTTTAATGCTCTCCCCTTTCGAGAATAATGAGGTAGTGAGTGCACTGAACAAATTTAGTCAACTTTAACTAAATGCCGACACAATGCGATAAAAAATGCATTTGAAGCGGATTCTGTAATTGTTTTATTGCCAATTAATCGTTGCACCAAATCACTGGCTCAAGTTATATCTTTAGACCTCTGACTCAAACTACCATGACCCCACTCTATGTCATATTCGACCCATTCCATAGTACTCATTGTACCTTTCCTCCGCCTTTGTGTCTCTCTGTCTCTTTTACATCTGGTAATCATTACTCTGTCTCCACCCTCTCGACTTTTTGTCACTTTGATGTTCCCCCTCCTCTCTTTGATGCCCGAAGTCTGCTAAAGGGCTAATGATAACTATCAAAACGCCTGCCATTTGAAATGAATGAATGAATATTTTTCGGGAAATTTGTTCAGATATGGTAAAAGAAAAGGAAAAGATAACCCTTTATGAAATTTAGGAAACGAAATGTTCAGAAAAGATGATTCATTGACTGTCGAAATTTAAACGTTTTAGCGAAATTATCATAGCATATGTTTCGGCAAGCTAACTTACCCGTGGAAACACCCTTCATTTCAATGCATTCTCCAGTGAAATTCGGTGCAAAACTAGACTATCCGTATTTTACGCATTTGACATTAACCATCAAACGCCCGGTTTATTATTTTTTTGAAAAATGAACCCAACAGCACTCACCCGTGTCTCACAGCATCAGACTGATGCGGCCGATGTGATGAGTTTAGGTAGTACCAGGAGAAGGCTCTAAACGTATTAAACATGGTTCACACGGCAATAGCACCTTTTCTTACGAGTCCTGTACCAATGGAGCTTAATTTGAAAGAGGACCGTGCGGCCCTAAGGGCATTGGAGTTAATCCAAAAACGAATATTCCAAGTTTATATCAAAAACTGTTGCATTTTCTACTCTGAATATTAACAAATGGAGCCAAATTTCAGATGATGATACTTTAAAAGTAAGCATTACAATGAGATAGAACAAAGAATCCTGGCAACTCAAGTTCAATTATCTACTTCAAACTCTTCTCTCTTCTACATTTTCTTCCAGTCTGATAACTATGTTAAAGTTCACCTTGAATTAACCCCAGTAAGGACTCTTAAGTGGAAGATCGTCTCAATGTTTTATCTATTAAATCCTCTCTGTAAAAAAGATAAGAAACAAATCAAGATTCCATGACTAACCAGGGCATAGAATAGATTTCGTAGTGAACTCAGGAGACAGTTGGTGAAAGGTGAATATAGCTTCTGAACTCCCTATTCTTGACTGCTGCTCTAGCTATGGCTCATGGAACTCATTTCCTTTGTCCCTTATAAAGGCCGTCTCCCAGTAATAGAAATCATGGAGGCTTCTGCACTGTCACAGGCAATAATGGTAGATCTCCAAGAAGATGTAGTGTTATTCGTGCACGCCGACGCATATCAACATACTTTGAGGAGGGGACGGGCAATTTTGACTTTTAGCTGTACAGGAGCAAATCCGATGCCACCCAGTCCTATTTAACCTGCCGAATTGAGATGATGTTGCATTAATTATTAGTTAATTATCGTCCCTCATTTCAGTTTAGAATTGTATCATTTCAATAAGTCAATTCAGTAGTGTCAAGCAACGGCTACTTTGTCGGCAATACCATATGGCATTTGGAATTTTCTCCACGAATTCTCCATTTTCGAATTTCACTAATTTTGATACTCTAGCCCATTTTTTTCCATAATCTTCGCGAAGAAATCAATGCCAATTGGGCCTCGGTTTGACTTCACTTTTCCGAACTGTGGGTCTTTTCGGCATATGACTGTTTATTTTATTGCATTAAAGCTACCTGCCCGCAGAGGGGAATATGTACTTTAATCCAACCCCAATTTTATTATTCGCAAATCTCTTTAATTGATTTCCTCCATTTTGACATGTTTTCATCTGATGATTTTACGCGGGTCTACTTTTCAACATACAAATATATCAAGTCAAATACGTTAGATGTCATTTGGGATGGGGTGGGGTGGGGTTGGGTGGGGTGTGTGGGGGGGGGTTGGAGGAGTTTCCTGCAAAGACAAATATTATCTGACCTCAATTCAACCCTCGGGTATCGACAGAATATGCAGGTTATCCAAATGGGAAAATATTACCTGAAATACTGTGACGTTGTCCCAATTCTTCACTAATCTACCGATACAGTTTGCGAATTCTAGCAAATTTCCATCTCGGCCCAAATGAAAACTCAATGACAACAAAAAGCTTTTAAATGCTCTTTTTTTGCTTAAAAACATTATTTCCGGAATAGTTCGCTGACCATTATTAACCAATAAGGGGGTGGGTCTAATCAAAATGAGGCCATTTGTCGGGTAATCATCTATTCATTCCTTATCAAGTGTAGAGGTGTGCGATGGACTTACCTCCACATGATGCACCCTGGGCAACGTATATTGATTGATTTCAATTTAATAGCACCCAAAGGATACATTCTAGACCATTTTCAAACTTAATGAGGAACGTATGGATTTAATACGAATCCGATATGATCGAAAGAATAATCTGTCATCAAGTTAGCATGCATTAATTTTGAAGTGGGGTGTGCGATAGACTGACCTCCACGTGGTGCGCCCTGGGCAACGTATACCCATACGGCAAAAAAGTCTATTAACTGGCAGTTGACTTCTCACTTCAAACTACCATCACCCCACTGTATGTCATATTCGACTACTTTCACATTACTCGCCTCACCTTTTTCTACCTTTGTGTCTGTCTCTTTTTCATCTTTGAAACACTCTTCTGTTCCCCCTCCCCATCTCGACTTTTTTCACTTTGATGTTCCTTCCTCTCTGTTAAGTCTGAAGTCAGCTGAAGGGCTAATGATAACTATCAAAAGGCTTGCCATTTGGTATAAATAGATAAATAAATTCTCCATCAANTTGACTTCAGACTATCATCACCCCGCTGTATGTCATATCCTACCACTTGCACAGTACTCATTGTACCTTTTCTCTGTCTTTGTGTCTGCAAATCACTCTTCTGTTCCCCACCCCTCGACTTTCTGTTACCCTGACGTTTCTTCCCCCTGTGGAGCCCGAAGTCAGCTAAAGGGCTGATGATAACTATCAAAACGCCTGCCATTTGAAATAAATAAAATTTTTACTCGGGTAATTTATAATTTCCGCCTATGTTAGAATGGGGATCTCAGCTTAAAACTCCACTGCATTGAACGATTTTCAATGTGTCCAAATGTTTGAACGTATAAATGTAGCAGAAGTAATAAAATGGCAATCACGATTTCAATAAATAATTAAATGTTGTGAACATCAATGAGGTAGCAGAAAGCCAAGAAAAATATTCTCAGATTGAAAGTCGTTTCATATAGGCACAGGACAAGGCGAGTGAAAGACAAGAGAAATTGACTCATCTCTGCCTTTATTGCGGTCCCAACCCATAGCCCTTCCCCCCCCCCCAACTACTTCACGAAGGCTCTTCTTAGGACTACGCTACCTCAGAGCTATTACGCTTGCTCATCAGATTCCCCAATGAAAGATTTCTTCTTCGGGGTGCTGTGGAGGACCTCCCGCCTTGTTCTATCACATTCTATCGAGTCATTAGGAACCGAATTGGAGACGAAAATAGCATCCAAACTTAAGTCAAGGTTTTTTGGTCTCATTGGTCTTCTTCAGCTGAAACAGGGAGTACTGTTGCCTTCCGTCGCTATTCTCCACTCCTCGAGTGATCTAGTACAAATCACCAAACTACAAGTGAATGTTTGCAGATAATAAGGCAAGAATGACATTTGGTGCCCGATTTCTGGTCCCACTTGCTCTGCACACTAGAATATCCCCCTCAACTTTCCCAAGCTATTCAATTCATGACTCTCCGAAAGGATCTTAAAGGTAAAGCTTCATCATTAGTAGTGGTTTAAATAAGATCCCAAATTATACTGACCACATATCTCGATATTTCTCGAATTATAAAAAATTACTATATGCAACCGAATGCGATCCATAAAAGCAAACGGATACTAGGTAAAATAACTAAACATGCCAAAAAATAATAAGTTGAAATGGCTTAATGCCGTTAAAGGCTTACCCTATACTTAGATACACGCGGCTTTAAAGTTGCTTCAGATGGAAATTCAAAGCACGCAATTTGACCATCATTGAGCGCAGTAGAAGTGTTTATTTTTTCGTAATCCACATAGATTTCACTGACACCTTTGTGAATTATTTCATATCCACTTTTGAGATTTCTTTTAATAATAGCAAAGACCCCATCAGTTATTGCGGCAGTGTCAATTTGACAATCCTTCCATATTGATTCCTTTGATTGACCGCCGATTGTTATGCTTTGCTGAGACGTAGTCAGTCCTATTATTTTCGGAAGTAGAGGAATTGAATTTCGGGTAATAGGTTTCCGTGAACGAGTTGCAGTTGAATCTAGGTCATCGAATTGTTCCACTATCAATTTCGTTTTTTTAATCGTCATTTGCGAAGATGTGACTTTTATACTGACTTAATGTAAAAAATATGTTGATGCTATCATTATTATTAATAACCCTTATTCAAATGTAATTAAATTAGGTGTTAAATAGTAGTCAATTCCGATTCATATTTGAGTTTAATTTCACTAATATCATTCACATTAACCGTGAAAGTATGAATATGCTTATTGGTTTGATTAATACACGTTTATTAATGTATAATACAAAATCCATTTAATTGGCAAGTCGTCTTGCGCCAAAACATTGCTGAATTTAATCAAATCATCTGCCTTGTTAGAATGTATTATAGGCTTTTAATAAACATCAGTTCGTATAATAGCATTGGATTCCACACCATCAGTAATTTGCGCTGCTGAAAGATCCCATGCCTTGTCATTAGTTCAGATTGCAATTATTAATAATTCGTATATTGAGGGCGTGCGATAGACTTATCTCCACGTGGAGCACCTTGGGCAACGTATACTCATACGGTAAAAAGGACTATTAACTGACAGTTGACTTCTGACTTCAAAGGGTGTGTGATAGACTTACCTCCACGTGGTGCACCCTGGTCAACGTATCAATAGACTTACCTCCACGTGGTGCACCCTGGGCAACGTATATTCATACGGCAAAGTCTATTAACTGGTAGTTGACTTCTCCTATACGGCAAAAAAGTCTATTATTCGGCAGTTGACTTCCGAACTATCGGCAAAAAAATTCTATTAACCGGCAGTTGACTTCTGACTTCAACGGCAAAGTCTATTAACTGGTAGTTGACTTCTCCGCATACGGCAAAAAAGTCTATTAACCGGCAGTTTTCTTCTCACTTCAAACTACCATGACCCCCCTATATGTCCTACATTCTCATACGGCAAAAAAGTCTATTAACCGGCATTTGACATGACTTCAAACTACAATCACCCCACTGTATGTCAAATTCGACTACTTGACTTCAAACTACCATCATCCCACTCTATGCCATATTCGTAAATTCGACCACTTCAACAGTACTCATCTTACCTTTTCTCTTCGACTTCTCACTTCAAACTACCATCACCCCACTGTATGTCAAATTCGACCCCTTCCACAGTACTCACCTCACCTTTGCTCTACTGTCGACTTCTTCCACAGTACTAACCTCACCTTTTTTCTACCTATTTCTCACTTCAAACTACCATCACCCCACTGTATGTCATATACCTCTGACTTCAAACTACCATCACCCCACTGTATGTCATATTTCACCACTTCCACAGTACTCACCTCGCCTTTTTTCTACCTTCAGTTGACTCTGACCCCACTGTATGTCATATTCGACTAAGGCAGTTGACTTCTCACTTCAAACTACCATCACCTCACTTATGTCATATTCGACCCCTTTCACAGTAATCATCTTACCTTACTGTGTCATATTCGACTACTTCCACAGTACTCACCTCACCTACAGTTGACTTCTCACTTCAAACTACCATGACCCCACTGTACGGTAGTTGACTTCTGACTTCAAAGACAAAAAAGTCTATTGATCGGCAGTTGACTTCTGACTTGCAAAAAGTCTATTGATCGGCAGTTGACTTCTGACTTCAAACTACCATCACCCCACTCTATATCATATTCGACTATTTTTACAGTACTCACCTCACCTTTGTCCATATTCGACCATTTCACAGTACTCACCTCACCTTTTTTCTTAAATTCGACCACTTCAACAGTACTCATCTTACCTTTTCTCTTCGACTTCTCACTTCAAACTACCATCACCCCACTGTATGTCAAATTCGACCCCTTCCACAGTACTCACCTCACCTTTGCTCTACTGTCGACTTCTTCCACAGTACTAACCTCACCTTTTTTCTACCTATTTCTCACTTCAAACTACCATCACCCCACTGTATGTCATATACCTCTGACTTCAAACTACCATCACCCCACTGTATGTCATATTTCACCACTTCCACAGTACTCACCTCGCCTTTTTTCTACCTTCAGTTGACTCTGACCCCACTGTATGTCATATTCGACTAAGGCAGTTGACTTCTCACTTCAAACTACCACCACCTCATGCACTATGGGCAACGTATACTCATATGGCAAAAAAGTCTATTAACCTGCAGTTGACTTCTGACTTCAAACTACCACGACCCCCAAACTTGTCATATTCGACCCCTTACACAGTACTCACCTTACCTTGTCATATTCGACTACTTTCACAGTACTCACCTCACCTTCTGTAACACTCTGCCTTTGTGTCTCTCTCTTTTACATCTATGAAACACTCTTCTATTCCCCTCCCCCTCCCCCTCTCGACTTTTTTTCACTTTGATGTTTCCTTCCTCTCTGTGAAGCCTGAACAAAGGGCTTATGATAACCATCAAACCGCCTGCCATTTGATATAAATAAATACTCTTAGAAATCAAAATGCCTGCCATTTGATATAAATAAATATAAATTCTGACTTCAAACTACCATCAACTCACTGCATGTAGTATTCGAATACTTCCAGAGTACTCACCTCACCTTTTTTCTACCCTTGTATCTGTATCTTTTGCGTCTTTGAAACACACTTCTGTTCCTCCACCCCTCTCGACTTTTTTTAATTTGATGNCATCTATTCATTCCTTATCAAGTGTAGAGGTGTGCGATGGACTTACCTCCACATGATGCACCCTGGGCAACGTATATTGATTGATTTCAATTTAATAGCACCCAAAGGATACATTCTAGACCATTTTCAAACTTAATGAGGAACGTATGGATTTAATACGAATCCGATATGATCGAAAGAATAATCTGTCATCAAGTTAGCATGCATTAATTTTGAAGTGGGGTGTGCGATAGACTGACCTCCACGTGGTGCGCCCTGGGCAACGTATACCCATACGGCAAAAAAGTCTATTAACTGGCAGTTGACTTCTCACTTCAAACTACCATCACCCCACTGTATGTCATATTCGACTACTTTCACATTACTCGCCTCACCTTTTTCTACCTTTGTGTCTGTCTCTTTTTCATCTTTGAAACACTCTTCTGTTCCCCCTCCCCATCTCGACTTTTTTCACTTTGATGTTCCTTCCTCTCTGTTAAGTCTGAAGTCAGCTGAAGGGCTAATGATAACTATCAAAAGGCTTGCCATTTGGTATAAATAGATAAATAAATTCTCCATCAAGTGCACTAATGAAGTTGCATAAAACAAGGTCCACCGTTTTTTTTTCGACAAAACTGGAACTAGTCTGAGTTTTTTCCACCGTGGAAGGGAATAAGTACCTTAGGTGGATGATTCAAGGTTATAAGACATTTCGACTAAGATACACAGCCAATTACCTTCATATGTCTCAACTACAAAGTAAGAAACGCACTTAATAGTACTCTCTGTTGCATTCAAATGTTCACAGAGGAAAAGGCAGCACTCGTACGTTATTGAAGAGTCAACTGTCCCCTGAACTTTTAATAAATTAATGACTTTGGGTCTTGAAAAATACAAGAAGACTTAAATTGGCATATAGCAGAATTTCATCTACAATCCTCATATTAAGTGCGCTCCTTTTAGGACGTACTCGATAGCACTTCAAAATTAATGAATGCTAACTCGATGACAGATTATTCTTTCGATCATTTGGTCAACTTCTCATATCGGATTCGCAATAAATCCATACGTTCCTCATTAAGTTTGAAAATGCTCTAGGATTTATCCTTTGGGTGTTATTAAATTGAAATTAGTCCTAAATTAATTTCAAATAATTAATTTAGTCACTTGAATACATTTCCGAAATGATGTTGTCATTGGGAAACACTCCTGTCTTAATGAGTTGTAATCATTTTTAATTGTTGTTAGTCCGATTGATAACTAATAATCATTAGTTGAAATTACTTCTCATATGACTTCTGTGGCATTCCAATGAGTGCAACAGGTAGAATTGCCATTGGAGAGCCACCAAGAGAACAGACAAGTACTTGTAAAATGGTGGCCTTGAAGCATCGAGACTGGACGGTCAAAAGCGTACAGACTCAATTCAAGAGCCTAACGTCGCAAGACTCTTCTAGCGTCCTAGCTAGCATCTAACTAATTTCCATCCCATTCCATCAAGTCATTACAGAACGTGAAATTGTATTAATATTAGTCTTGTAAACTGTCTGATTGCCTACCTAATTCAAATAGTTGTGCGACAGACTTAGCAAAGCCATTCCTTCACATATGTAATGACGGTATTTGATTTGAATCTACTGCTTTTTTCCAAATCGCAAGACTTATTCGTAACCGAGACAATTAATCTCCTTCAATAGTGATTGAAATTGGCAATCTTGATGTTTATTATAAAGGGTTATCTGTGAAGTTGGACAATTTAAGTATGAATTTGAAATTAATGTTTAAAACTCTTGGTTTAGTCAAATATTGAAGTAGTATTGTTATTTTAATAGATCCAATAAACGTGCTGCGTTTGTAATTTCAAATAATTTAAGTGAGTACTATTTTAAAACAGAATTATAAGTTGAAGTTCATTAATTTCTGAACCCCTATATTACTTTGCAGAGGATTGCTAAACTCCCAGAACTAGCTAAGCTACAGCCCAGCTAAAGAGGAAACAGACGTATCGCACGGAACACTATAACTTAGGGAGTATATTGTGGTGAAAGTGTACACTCTGTAAACTTAGTCATAATCAACATGGTGGATCGCTTAAATAAACGAAGGCTTCTGATTGGCTATTGGTTGTGCGCGCATACGATCATGTGTTAGGCGATGACGTGTCCCAAAACTTCAATAGTAATACTTATTTCGATCGCCCTAAAAGAATTCATTTCATCCCCCTTAACGCGGCACATTTTCTATATTTCATACCAATTTAAGCAGATCTCAAGTCTGCATGCGAAGGAATAGTCTTTGTTACTCTTCATTTAGCCTGGCGGATGATAAAAATTGAACGGTGGTTATGGCCAACAACTTCTGCGATACTTTATAGGTAAGTATTTGCCTGACACTTATGCATTTTCTAACACAGAATAA